CCATGTCATTGAGGGACGTCGGTAGATGCTGAACGGAGACAAGGGGGCGGGCGGCAGCGGCCATTTGGCGGGGTGGGGGTTTTTTTTTTTTTTTTCCAGGGGGGTGGTTGCTCTAGGGTTTTGAATTGAGTAGGGGTTGAGTGAAATCTATATATATATGGGATCTTTTAGGGTTCATCGGAGCTTATTCTGTGTGTTTTGTTTCTCGAATAAGGGTATTCTAGTACGCTGATAAGGCTTGTTTGGCTTTTTTCTTTTTAAATGAAAAACTGAATTATTTCTAAAACTTCAAGAATCAAACTAAAGTTTTCCGTGTCTTTTGAATACCAAGTTTTTTTTTTTGTTTTTTTTCTTTATTCTCTGAATTTCTTTTTTTTTTAACTATAATTAAAATTATATTTTACAAAATCAATCTTTAAATTAACACTTGATCAGCCTTCGACACTTCACAAACGCAAAGTGAAAAAAATCCCAACACAAAAAAACTTTATTAATAAAATTTAGATGGGTAAAATTATAAAAAAATATATATTTAATAGTAAAAAAAAAAATTGTAGAGATGAAGAGAACAATCTATAATGTTCTGAGTATTATAGGTAAACAGTGAATTGCATTGTTCATTTCTCTAATTTTTTCAGTATCTTTAATAATAATAAAAATCAGTTCTTTCATATAGATTCTAGATAAAATAAATATTTAAAATTAATTTTGAATGACTCTTGTAGAAAGAAAAATTTGATTGGCTTGGGATTGTAGAGTTAGTAAAACTATGAGCAATGTTTTCTCTAGTTAATCAATTAGGTTCTGCAAGTTAAATATGTAAATCCAATATATTAAATTTAAATTAGCTTATAGAATGTTGGTTACTAATTAATGTGATTTCGTATATTTTTTCTCTTATTGAAAGTTCCAACAAAACTTAATTTTTGATATAAGAAAAAATATTCACCACTCATTAACATTCTAAATCTAATAATCTCTGTAAATCTCCACATGAATATGGGATTGAAGGTAATATGACCTTGGCAGGCAATGAAAACTCAGAATGATAAGAAATAAATAAACAATGGTAATAATAATAAATATGATGTGTAATAAAGAGTGTGATCTATAAAAATAAATCTACAGGCATTGTTGAAGTTAAAACTAGGAATTATTAATTTCAGTTTAAAATTCATAATGTTGGTGAAATTATTAACAAGTTTAGATGGATAAAAAAATTATAAAAAATCTAGATGAATGTGTTTTAATGATGGGAATGAGATATACAAGTTAAGAAAAAATTATACAAAAAATTATTGGCTCAAACCTTAGTTAAAAATTGATAATATTTATTGTGATGTATATGACATCAATAAAGGATAAGGCTATTGAATTGAGGAGGATTTAGAAATGTTTGGAAAATAATTATAAAAATATAATTAATAAGGTTTAGAAGTCACTACCTCGTTAAAAACCTTTAATGATTTGTGAGGGTTTAAGTAAAAAGACTAGTTATACATGAAAAAGACATATTTTTTTATTATTTTTCAGTATTGTTTAGGATATTTTTACTTAGTATATAGTTATTTAGCTTATAATTAGATTTTTTTAGATTTAGTTTATTTTATAATAATATTATTTGTATAAGGTTGCTTATATTTTTTATTTTTTATTGAGTTTTTTTATTTATTAAAGATTAATTGTCATTGTGGTATTTTTTATGCTTTTAGTTCGTAATTCATTATACTCACAAGGTTAGAATTTTTTTCATCTAATATTTTTTTGTTTTGGTTCATATAATTATTGTTTTGAGATCTTTATTATAATTTAATTTTAGCTTTTTATTTTTTTTATTGCACGTGGATTCACTGGTTCTTTCTTTTGGGTTTGCATCAAACTCTATAAGGTAGATTAACATATAATAATAAACAAAATGACCGTTAATATTATAAAAAAAACAAATTACATGAATGTTATACTATGGAATAAAATCCTAAATATAATTGTAATAATTTGATCATAATGAATCTTGACTAAAATTTAAGGAAACAAAAAGTAATAATCATAAAGGTTTGTAAAAAAAAACTTGCCAATATATTAAAAAAATTATTATAACCTTATTTGAAAAAAAAAAAGAGCTAAAACTGAATGTTATCTAACAAAATAAAATCCTAAATGTCATGTAAATCATTTTATTATAATTAATTTTAATCAAAATTTAAGAAAAAATTAAAGAAAAAAACAAAGGGTTCTTTAAAAAAGCCCACCCGTCTTGGATCCGGTAGGCTAGTGCAACAAGGGATATGGAAAGAAGGCAAGGTGTACACAAGACTGCAAATGAGTCTCTCACGTTTAGTCTCAGTTTTTTTCCTTGTTTGATAGGGCAAACAACAAGTAATTAGCTCTATTTTATATACATATGTATAAGACAACATGTTGCTTGCTTGAGTAAATTTTAGCCTAGCTGAAAAGTAAGGTTTGAACTAAATTGAATTAAAAAATTAATTTTTAATTTTTTTAATATAAAAATATCCAATAATTTTTTATTTTTTTGAATTTGAGAAAATCTCATTATCTAAAAAATATATTTTATAAATTTAGATGAGCAAATAAAATCCCAACTGTTTCAAGCTCTTATAAAAAATACAAATTCTAACTTAAACTTAAAATCTACTATCCATATCTCAAATTCTTTATTATCATGACATGCCTTAGTAAATATTATTATAAGCCTTAATAAATTGATTTTTAATTTTAAATCAACTTTTAATTGATTAAAGAATTGAAAATAAATGCAATTTCTTTTATCGAGATCTGATTTTATATATATATATATATATACACACACACACACAGGATGAAAAGTCAATTTATATGAACTTCTCTTATCATGAGAAATTCAATATCATTAAAATCAACTTAGAATATCTTTTTTTGCACAATAAACATTGGCGATGGTTGAAGACTGCCCATACAGGGCGTGATGAAGGGGGAGGGACTGTAATAATTATTGAAAGCTCCGATCAACTGACTGAGATAGCTACTACTAGCTGGCTTTCCCGCGATTTGTTGCGGCGGATTCAGAGCCCGTTTACTATTAGGACAGCGAATATTTTTCAAAATATATTTTTTTGAATGAAAATGCCTCTCAAGATCTGCCTACGCCAATGCTTCACAACTCTAATGTTCTCTCTTCTGTGCTTCAGTCCAATAAACTACCATGAAAGCAAAGAGAATATAATCAAAAGATTATAAACGATTCAAAAGACCCGTAAAGTATAATCAGCAGAAAAGTAAAGAAGGGGCCATGAAATCATTAGAGTTTGACAAATTCTTGCTGTCTTGAAGTCCAAGAAGTGAACATTTCAGTCACAGACAACAAACCATTACCAAAACCTTCAGGTTTTTCAGGAAACAATGGAGGCAGACTTGGTTCCTAGTAACTTCAATCCTTTCACTCATCAACTGCTTTATACCCGCTTAAATCAATCGACAAACCATTAACAAGAACTCACAGAAAGACTGCAAAAGATTCTATCTTCTGTAAGAATAAGACATGAGCATCCATCAAACGCAAGCAAAAAAACTAAGTAGCAAACGTACGGGAAAAGAAAATTCTAAATGGGAACTAATCATGAAAGAAAAGAGCCTGGATTCATACACTGTCTTTGAAGCTGCTCTGCCAAGGCTCTCATTGTACTGCAATCAACAAATTAGCGAGTGATACGCAATTCAGATATCTGAATGTCAAAAGAAACAGCATTAGTTTGCAAGAACATTACCAAGCCCTTAAAAAACATTACATTTGTGGAAGAAGAAAAGTTCAAAATCCAACTTAGACTTGTAAACACCTAAATTTTAATCCAGTTCTAAAAATTTATTGTAGAGAAACTTACAGAGATGAAACAGCAGTATCAATCCTCCCATATGCTAGAGTTGTGCAGCACATAGGGAGACCTGTGAAAAGAGAAAAAAGTAAAAATTGTAAGCCCAACAATTTTCAAGCAATGAGGATGGCGCCAAAAAAGAAGAAAAAAAAAAAGCTGGGGCACCAGGATGGTACCATAACAGGGAAAAAAATATTTAATTGGCTTGGTTAATAAATAACTTTTCAAGCCCCTCATACATAAAACATAGATGACTCCTGGTTGTAGCCTGTCTAGGCCTAGGAGACAATGAGAGCATCTTTTTTTGATCCACTTTGATTACTTTTTTATATGAACTGGAGTGTTTTTATGAAATCCTTGTCTGTAAGGACTTCTGTCCATTTAACAAATGAAGCCCAGAAATTTTTGTCGATCTTGATAGATGTTAAAGAGAGGGCTTTATTTACTCAAGCGGATTGTACATAATATCGATTAAGCCAAATTTGTGCACTTAATTAAGACTTAATACCGTCGTACTTGAAACATAAGAAAGCATATATGTCCATTATCAGTAAGATTTGCCCTGTTGTAGGTTGCAGACTCCTTAGCTGTATTTTCAGCAACTGGTTTACGTTTTTTTGGAGACAGTGCTTGCATTTCCATTGCCAATGGCACTTCCGTATTCTTCATTGTCTCCATAGACAGGAAGCTTGAACTTTTCACCTGCTTCAACAACTCCTAGCCTGTGGACCATAAATGTGAACACTTGTCAAGTAGACAAAAAAGATTGTTAAGATCCACATGAAGGGCGGATAATGAAAGAATGCTGGATGCAGCAAAACATGTGAAGTTAAAATTTGACCTTACCTAGCCATGGCCTCTTCATCAGGAAGGGTTTCTTCACTGATTTCTGGCATGTCATCTTCATCCAGACCTAGAGCCTACAAAACTGCATAGTGTCTCTGCAAACATGGGATAAACTATTTTGGAAATCACCGAGGAGGAGAATCCAGCAAACATTAAAGAAAATAAAAGAACCATTAATAAAAAATGAACTTATTAGATCTTGGTGGCTATGAAAGGGAAACATACATCAAAGGAAATTGATGAACATGCAAGAATAAAAGGGAATTATATGGCAAAAAAGAAAATGGATCAGGCAACATACCTAAAAACTGTTGATAAAAGAACAAACCAGTCTATGCATTTGCCTTTCTTGGGTCTCTGTTATCTGATTTGAGCTGAAACAGCAACAATTTACAATAACTGTAATTTACAATAGCATGAGGTCGTCATAGTAGAGGATCGTGAACAACAGTGATAAAGCCAAGGGCAACATAACCCATTCAAATCAGCAGACAGAACCAAGGAAAAAAACAGAAAGAGCATCCTGGAAAAAATGCTAGCAATTGTGAAAGGAGAACAGAAATCCCTTTCTCCAGACAGGCAGGGCAACAATCGATGTGAATAATTAATTATTGAAGATTTCAAAATTGAACATGGCTAAAAACAGTCAAATATACTTTTCGTCTTCATCTTGATAGAGCATGAATTTCTGTCTTTGCTTTTGATTCTCTTTTTTAGGATTAATTGAAGTCTTCTACATAACCAGAGCTACGAATCAGTTATAGACATCCATATGAACATTTATGTTGGAACTGTATATATCCCAAATCAAACCCCTCTACTAATTCCCATAAAAAAAAGAATTGACTTGTGGATAATACACACATCAAATTAAAATTGATTAATGATACTAACAGAAACAGAAAAATTAATTTTAGATTTTAATTATTAGAATTTGTGTGTCAGCTATATCAATGTTTTAGATTTCAAATTGTCATGCAATCATATGATTGTGATGGATGCTAGCTCATTGTCTGTTCTAGATATGAATGAAAGAGCATGTTGCTAGAAATCAATGATTCCAAGCAGGGAAGGATTCAAAGTCTTTGTTGAATGCAATGCATGGCCATGATGCACCAGAAAATTGATGCAGGTTCATCTAAACTCAAAGAAGACAACCCCAGTTGAAAATTCGAATCAAGTATGACATTGAACTGTCGAAAAATCAGCTAACTTCCATATCTAAAATCATTCAATAGCACAAAAAACAAAAGTCTAATCAAGCCTTCAGCTTCTTTGTTTGTCAGTGCAGTGCCACATCAAGAAATTAGGTTGGATCTTGATCCATTTTAATGACATTAAATGGAGGATGAAAAAAAGTTGCGGTTTGACACGAGGCTGGCACTTGTTATTTGATGATATAAACTACGATTTTACCAAATAAAAGCTACAAACTTGGTGACTGTCAAGGAATTAATAGACTTCTTCGAATCCAGATCTCATTGAAATGATTATATGTGCTTATTAGGAAGTTCATGAGCTAAGCTTACATGCAACTTTTTTGAAAAAAAAGAAGAGAATCTGTAAACTTGGTCATTGTAAAGAAATCAAGAGATTCGACGAATATGACTCCTGAAAAAATGGTGAAAATAACATAACAGCAGAAGCTGGAGTTATACTTATCCCCCCACTGTCAGGAAGCTCAGCAACGATAATCTTACCTCCAACCCTTTACATTTGCTCGATCATCAAAATAATTAATTTCCAATTTCTCTGTTTACAATAATTATATATCAAATTGATTAAACAACAAATTCATAATACATGACATTAAGCTCTCTGCAAATTCACCGAGCAAGAATAGAAAGCATACGGTACATTAAAGCAAGCAATTCGAATAAAACACACAAGTGAGGTAATAAATTGTTCCATTTCATTTCTGATTGAAATAGAAATTCTTTGACCTAGCCAAATAGAAGAATGGGATTGGAAGAAAGGCTACAAAAAACCCAACATCCCCTCCTACATGTACAATAGAAAAACAAAAGTTGACAACATAATCAAGTAAATAAGCAAAACTCCTCTCTAAAAACAGAACTAAATCACTGGGAGACACCAAGCCACTTGGTGAAATTCTCGAACTCGGTGTAATCGCTGTCAGAAATCATGGTCTTGTACCAAGCCTTTCCTGCAGCCTTAGCAGCAGCTAGCTCCTCCTATTGGTTTCAAAAGAAAAGAAACATTGTTAATAAAGAAGTAGACAAGTGCAAGACACACCAACAAAACAAAGAACTATCTGCTGTCAGTGGCAAAACCTATAGTATAAAAGAGATTAGATTTGGTATAGCATAATAATTGATGAACATAGCAACGCTCAAAGCTTAGCGGTGACCAAAATTCCACCAAATTGTTCCGAAAGTAGTCTATACCACTGCAACACATTATTCTGACATTCTTAATACACAAAAAAAATAAAATCACATTTAACAGCTTCCATACACATTACCAAAGCATAAAGAAGGAACCGCCTAATCATTTACATATAGCTATTAACAATATATCACTCTCAAGCAGGAAAAAACAGATAGATAGCCAGCATACCTTCGACACAGGTTTCCTCTTTCTGTCGAGCTTCTCCTTCTTGGCCTTCACGCGCTCTGCTTCAGCCAGAAGGGCCATCCTCCTAGCAGTCTTAGCATATGGATTCAATTTCAGCATCACGTTCAAGTTCTTCAATGGGTTCTTCTTCAAAGGTGCCCTCTTAAACTCCTTCTTGATTGGATTCACAACGCTCTGAACCTCGTCAGAGTTGATGATCCTTGCCAAATCAGCATTGACCATCTTGGTCCTAGGTAGCACATAACCCTTCTTCTTCTCGGAAGACCTCTCAAAAGTCCCATATATTGAATCAAGCTTCTCGATAGCTGATTTTGTCCAGATCACAAACCTTCCAAGATGACCGCCGGGAGCCAGCCTCAACAAGTTCAGCCTCTCAACGTTAGCCACCTCCACTCCTGGAATATTACGGAAGGCCTTCACCAACTTAGCACCTTCGGTTCCGTACACAATCAGGGGTCCCTTGCGGGAAATGTACCTCCTGTTCCTCATTTTCCCCTTACCAGGCCGGATCGCTTGAGAATCCTTGGCCTTCTCGGCATCTGGATAAGCACCAATTTCCTTCAGCACCTTGATAGCAGTGGATGTTTTTTCAATGCTCTCCGCCGAATCAGAGATAACCAGAGGCATCTCAGGGACTGACTCCACCCGGTGACCGCGTGCCATTACCAGAGAAGGAATAGCAGAGGCAGCAATAGCTGAAACGACAGCGTATCGCTTTTGGTTGACGTTAATCTTCCTATGCCAGCGGCGCCAGATCTTGGTAGGAGCAAACATGCGTCCACCACGGCACATGTTTCCGAAAGCTCCCTGACCAGCACGGTGAGTTCCACCACCAGAAACACGGGGGATACGAGAAACGGCACGACCGGTACCCCAAGATTCGGCTGAAGTCTGGTGACCGGCCTTCTTTGAGACGGCGTAAGGTTGGCGGCTGTTCTTGGAGATGTTGGAGTGGACAAAATTGACGATGTCTGGTCTGATTGAGGCCTTCATGACATCGGGAAGAGCCACGGTTGTGACAGAATCAGTGGCCATGTCATTGAGGGACGTCGGTAGATGCTGAACGGAGACAAGGGGGCGGGCGGCAGCGGCCATTTGGCGGTGTGGGGTTTTTTTTTTTTTTTTCCAGGGGGGTGGTTGCTCTAGGGTTTTGAATTGAGTAGGGGTTGAGTGAAATCTATATATATATGGGATCTTTTAGGGTTCATCGGAGCTTATTCTGTGTGTTTTGTTTCTCGAATAAGGGTATTCTAGTACGCTGATAAGGCTTGTTTGGCTTTTTTCTTTTTAAATGAAAAACTGAATTATTTCTAAAACTTCAAGAATCAAACTAAAGTTTTCCGTGTCTTTTGAATAAAACAAGAGCAGGAAATGCTAAATGAAAAGCTAAAAATAAAAATATAGATATTACTTTGGCTTTTTAATATTTGTTTTACATAGTTAAGGGGAGTGCTGCATAATATATTGTTTTACCATTTCTCTTATAAAAATATTATTTCTATATATTTTATAAAAATATTAAATATTATTCATTGAGTAACTTTTTTTATTTTTAAAAATATATATATATTTAGTTTATTTTTCATGAGATTATTTAAGATTATTTTAATTTTAATTTTATCTTTTAATTTTCAATTAAATAAGAATTTCCTTTGAGATTTATTAAATCACTTGAATCATATCAAGTTATTATAATAGTTGTGTTTTAAATATATTAAAATATATTTACATCGTGTTTATTTTTACCTTTTAAAATATTTTAAAATAAATTTAATATTTATTTTTATTTTAAAATAATATTTTTAATATTTATATTAAAAAATATATATATTACCAATTTCATTCTTCTAAATAACATCTCGGAGATGCTTTGACCCCTCGTTCTCCAAAGTTTAAAAATGGGATCACAAGTTCCTTCCAAGATCATGGAGGAATGATACCATTACCATTAGATCAGGAGCCAATTAGTAGTTCTTGGGATTTTAAATGGATTGATGTTTTTGGCATTTCAAAAGCTAAATATCACCAGAAGCTTGTTTTTGCGATTACAAATATTTATTTGCATCAATACGTGAAATCTTTCAAGGCACCTTATATCATATTACAAAATCGGGATATCCAATCATGCAGGCATGTAACCATAGAAAATTTGTAAAAATATACTCAATACATTGTGAAAAATGGTTATTGCAACTGAAGGGGTGTGTTAAATGGAAAGTAA